ATAGACTAAAGTCAAACTGGAACTAAAGCCAGGTTGGACCTGGGGAGGGAGTTGAGTGAGGTTATTAGGACTGTTTGAAGAATTGAATAAGGTACATGACAGAGGCCACATATTCTTCACTTCATCCCTCTAATAGTGTCTTTTCTGGTCCCTAATACTCACAAAGTTCCACTTGCCTGGTTCTGGTCTGTGTGTTTTCACAGGGCAACATAAATGAGGTTTCTCTTTATTTTTGCTCTCTAAGATGATCTAAAAGCAAGGTTTATTCCATACCTGTTCCAGTCATTCTGTTCAGTTAACTAGACAAAAGTATGACTGCTAGCTAGCTAGGATGATGACACTTGGAGAGCATATCCTCTAAGTATTTAAAAACCATGTTCTTAAATATGGAAGTAAGCTTAAAATTTTTTTTGCCTTTAGTTTTTGGCTGCTTCAGCTATCATTGTAGAAGCTAAGCACTTTATGTACTTTTATAAAGTTCTCTTTGTTTTGAAATCCCTAAAGCTCAAAGGCTAACAATTAATTACTGAGCAGTTACATGACCCATCAACAGCCAGCTCACATTCCAGTTTCTGAAACACTATGGACACCATGTATTTCTAATGATTTTTTTCTTTGTTGTAGGATTTTGATATAATTGAGGAAGCTCTTATCCGAAGAGTCTTAGATCGATCACTTCTTGAATATGTGAATCACTCCAATGCCACATAATTTTATTAATAGGGAGGGGAAAGGGATCATTCAATTGTACCACTTAAATGCTGCTTAAACAATTGGGGGATTGTTTATAGAGGGAAATTGTCAATGTTTGATGGAGAACAATGTATGTTTGTGCTTATTGTTATATTGTGCTAAAGAACTGCATTAATCTTGATGGTTCAGATCTGCCCTTACATTCTTGAGTTTCCTAGACTTGTAACAAGAAATAATCTCTGAGTCATTACTATCCAGAAGCAGCACAGGCAGAGTAGGTAGGTGGGGACAACTCCATTTGCAAATGGAATGGCACAGTCTAATGAATGTTCCGCCTGAGCAGCTACCATCATGGTTGGGCAAAGTAATTGATCTTTGTTCTATCTAAAAAGATGAGGAACAGAACAAACTGTGGAGAATCAAGAAAATAGGAAAGCTGCTTCAATGCTCATGTTCTCATTAATCCTTAGTATAATACATACCATCATAGTTGGGCAAGGTAACTGATCTTTGTTCTATTTAAAAAAATGAGGAGGGGCTGGGAACGTGGCTTAGTGGTAGAGTGCTTACTTAGCATGCATGAAGCCCAGGTTCAACTTCTCAGTACCACATAAAAAGAAAAAGCCAGAATTGGTACTATGGCTCAAGTGGTAGAATGCTAGCTTTGAGCAAAAGAAGCTCAGAGACAGTGCTTAGGCCCAGAGTTCAAGCCCCATGACTGATAAAAAAAAAAAAAAGATGAGAAACAGAACAAACTGTGGAGAATCAAGAAAATATGAAATCTGCATCAATGCTCATGTTCTCATTAATCCCTAGTAGTACATCATGAATTATCTGTTGGGAATAGAATGCAAAAAATTTAAAGTCAAAGAAGTCGCATTTCAACCACCAAAATTTTGTGTGAGAAATGTGTACTTAACTCTTTGGCCTTTTTTCACTGTGCACACATAAGCCATTAGTATATTATTTTAAAGTATTTCTAGCTTATTGGTTAGAAATATTTTCATACTATAGGCAATTTCTTAGGGATCATCTATCGATAGAGTAAAAGTACTCATGTACATAATTTTTGTGGAAAACTTAAGGGCTTTGTTAATTTTAACTTTAAGAACTATATAAAATAAAACACAAATACTGAAAAATATAAAATATATAGCTTAATGAATTATTTCAAGAAAAATCCTAGAATTCTGAATTAGAATCATAGAATTCTGCCAGCCATCCTATTTGTCTGTCTCTGGCCACAATTCTAACCCCACATACGTAAGCACTGAACTGATTTCAACAATAATCGCTTTATTATAGTTCTTTATTATTTTATCATTGAGTAATTATATCCATGTTTTAATCATATTTATTTGAATTTGTTTTTATTAGATGTGCTTTTTTTCTTTTTTCTTTTTTTTTGTCAGTCATGGGGCTTGAACTCTTGGTCTGAGTGCTGTCCTTCAGCTCTTCAGCTCAAGGCTAGCACTCTACCACTTGAGCCACAGCACCACTTCCAGTTTTCTGGTGGTTTATTGGAGGTAAAAGTTTCATGGCCTTTTCTTACTGGGCTGGCTTTGAACTGAGATCCTCAGATCTCAGCCTCCTGAGTAGCTAGGATTACAGGTGAGAGCCACCAGCGCCCAACTTAGATGTGTGTGTGTTTTAATTATTATTATGTCAGTACTGGGGCTTGAACTTGGGGCCTGGGCACTGTCCCTTGAGCTCTTTTGCTCAACACTAGCACTCTACCACTTTGAGTCACAGTACCATTTCCAGTTTTCTAGTGGTTAATTGGGGATAGGAATCTCATGGACTTTCCTGCCTGGGCTGGCTTTGAACCTTGATCCTCAGATCTCAGCCTCCTGAGAAGCTAGGATTACAGGCATGAGCCACCGGCGATGTGTATTTTATGGGGGCTGAATGCATAGCTTAGCAGTAGAACCTTTGCTTTGCATGTACAAGGCCCCGTGTTCAATCCTTAGCACCCTAAAACTAACTAATCAATCAACCAACAATCCAACCTAGCTGTGTGTTCTCTCTCTCTCTCTCTCTCTCTCACACACACGTACTGTCTCTGTCTCTCTGCTTCTCTGTATCTCTGTCTCTTGAAGTGCTAGACATGTCTTCTATCACTGATTTCTATCCCTGGTCCTCTTTACTCTTTAATCTCTACTTTCATCTATAGGTACTTCCTTCCTTTCCTTAACATTTACCTGATAAAGAACCTGAATTTATGACCTTTCAAATTTCCCCTAATCTGTATTTTACTGGTAATACACTTGTAACACAATTCAGAACATTCCTTCGGATATTGATCCATGGGTTTTGAGACTGGAGCAGACCCAAGTTGCAAGAATATGGGTCAGGGTATATATTTTCATTAGATGGCATGTCCTGCCCTTTCTTTTTGTGATGCTTAGTTAGTACTCAATACTATCTGAGATGATACTATCATTTCTATTTCATTTATTATTTACTTTTTTTCTGGTCTGGGGATTGAACTCAGGGCCTGGGTGCTGTCTCCGAGCTTTTGAGCTCAAGGCTAGTACACTACCACTTGAGCTACAGTTCCAGCTTTTTGATGGTTAAAAGTTGTGATAAAAGGGGCTGGGAAGGTGGTTCAGTGGTAGAGCACTTGCCTTGCATGCATGAGGCCCTGGGTTCCATTCCTCAGCACCACATAAGCAAAAAGAAAAAAGTCGGAAGTGGCGCTGTGGCTCAAGTGGTAGAGCGTTAGCCTTGAGCTGAAGAGCTGAGGAACAGTGCCCAGGCCCAGAGTTCAGGCCCCACGACTAGACCTCCCCCCCCCCAAAAAAAAACAAACAAAAGTTATGATAAAAGTCTCATAGACTTTCCTACCCAAGCTGGTTTTGAACCACAATCCTTACAACACAGCCTCCTGAGTAGGTAGGATTACAAACGTTAGGCTCCCAAGCCCCGCTCTGGTTACAATATTTTAAAAATTGTTATCTAAAGGTGATATACAGAGCAGTTACAGGTAATGAGTACATTTCTTTTTGGACAGTGTAACTCCTCCAAGTTACAATATTTTTGTAAGATGCATCCTCATTTGGTTAATTCATGCTAAAGTTCATATAGGACAGTAAAACGAAATACTTTATTTACCAGTTTTCAGAATAAGCTGTCTCCTGTCATCTTTCAAAGATCACTTTTTAAAAAAAGTATTGTGAACTGGTATAGTTAAATAGATTTGGCCTTCAATATTACTTTATTGAAGCCAGCCACTGGTAGCTCACACCTGTAATTCTAGCTACTCAGGAGGCCAAGATCTGAGGATCATGGTTCAAAGCCAGCCTGGCCAGTAGTAAAGTCTGTGAGATTCTTATCTCCAATAAACTACTCAGAAAACCAGAAGCGGTATTGTGGCTCAAGTGGTAGAGTGCTAGCCTTGAGTTGAAGAGCTGAGGGACAGCTTTCAAGCCCAGAGTTCAAGCCCCATAACCGACAAGCAATCAGTCTATCTACTATCTATCTATCTACTATTGAAGCTCACATTGTATAATCATGTTGATTCTGAGTCTGTTAGGCACTTTAGTAGATTTCTTGCTATGTTATGTAACAAGATAGCCCAGACTAAATTTGTATTTCTTGCCCTAGATGTGGAATCAGCCATTTCTGTAAGAAACCCAAGGTCTTTCCATGAGGAACAATAATTTAAAAACATAGACCAAGCTCTAAAAATGTTCTTTGCTACTAGTTTGGTCATCATTTTGAGGAACAAGCTATGGAATATTTATGTTTTTTCAAGACACAATACTTTATAAGTGGGACTGGGAATGTGGCTTAGTAGTAGAGTGCTCACCTAGCATGCACGAGGCCTTGGCTTTGATTCCTCAGCACCACATAAACAGAAAAGGTAGGAAGTGGTGTTATGGCTCAAGTAATAGAGTGCTAGTCTTGAGCAAAAAGAAACTTAGGGACGATGTTCAGACCGTTCAAGTCCCAGGACTGCCAAAAAGAAAACAGAAAAACCAAACAACAACTACAAAAACAACAGCTTGTGGGTTTTCTTTAATACTTCCAAATATATTAGTTACTATAGGTTTTACTTAACTTTACTACTCTGTTCTGTACCAAGAAAAAAAAATCTTCATTTTGAAGGTCATGATAGAGTCAGAATAAATCATGATTACTTTCTTTATGTTAAACAGGAAACTGTCACAGAATAACAATACTAATATAATTATAAATAATACGATAAACAAAATTTTTAAAAAAAAATTTGCTTTCCCTATTCGCCTCCTGTTTTTTCATAATAGTTGTATTAAATTGAATATTTTTGCAACATTAGTGTAACATACTCTACTTTATTCCTCTTACCCTCCTCCTATTTAGTTTTAGTAGCAATATACTTAACATTTATCACTTAGATAGCACTATTTTTCATGCTTGGTTCTTTAAAAACACCTCCAGATGGGCTGGGAAGGTGGTTCAGAGGTAGTGTTTGCCTCGCATGTATGAGGCCCTGGGTTTGATTCCTCAGCATCACATAAACAGAAAAGGGGGGCTGGGAAGGTAGCTCAGCGGTAGAGTACATGCCTTGCAAGCATGAGGCCCTGGGTTCCATTCCTCAGCACCACATAAGCAGAAAAAGCCGGAAGTGGCGCTGTGGCTCCAGTGGTAGAGTGCTAGCCTTGAGCTGAAGAGCTGAGGGACAGTGCCCAGACCCAGAGTTCAGGCCCCATGACCGGCAAAAAA